AAGGTCAATTGCGCCTGTGTAGATATATCTTGAATAAACAACAAAATAATTAGATGTATATATCACTTGACGGGTGAACTGTGGTGCGTTTAATATGCAAGTTACGGATCGGACAAACTAAGCATAAATTGAAATGTGTGTGGATCGCAATAAACTTCGATCAACAAATCGCAAACATCTCGAATTGCCTACCTGAGTATCGATTCAAAAACTGCAGGCGCAATGGTGTGTTTAATTATAACAGAATTCCTTCCATCAGTACTAGATCTTTCATTTGACAGAAGCGTTTTTAAATGTGGGGAACGTATACGTAAGATCAATGAATGTGCCTTCAACTCTTTCATATCTGGCTCCTCCCCGACGAATATGGTGACATCACAACTGTCTTTGTTATCGAGCAATTGGCTGAGGTCATTAGATAAGTCATTCAACAAATCACTCGGTTTTGCGCACATTGGGTAATAGATGAATATACGGTCGAAATGAAACGTATAACGTAGCGTTTATGGGGGGGGGGTAATATTTCTTTAGGCAGTTCTTATACCAATCAGTGTGTGTTCGTAAAAGACTATTTGTGAAGTGTGCATGTTGTCAATCGTGGTGCAAACCTTTTTTGACTGAGAACTGAGCACTACTGAAATTATGCTCGTATATCGTGTCACAATGTCCAGTAGTACATTAGCAACTAATTAAGGCAAAAATTATATATTTGACGATAAACGTGGACTGTACTCAAACCTGTTTCCGCGAGAATTCTCTTGTGTAAACAATACCCTATTAATTAGCAGTCATTCGCGCAAACATTGTATGCAGAACATACTACAGTCGACCTCCCCTACAGTCACCTTCTATACAGTCACATTTGCTTACAGTCATGGCCCCGGTTTTTTTCATAGGGATTTCATAGTGACACCTATATATCTATACAGTCATAGCTTTTGTCTAACATCAGTAACTAAAAATCATATAAGCCTTTTACCTGGTGAGGTAATATAAACACATTATATTTACACAATGCCCAATCGAGAAAAGAAAGAAAAAAAGAAGAAGCTCAATTGAACATTGATAATAAACGCAAAATTTAGATATGCGAAACAACATTCTACTTTAAACGATGCAGACATGATACACGGACTTTGGCTGGTCCCGAAATAATAACATAAATATCGTTTCGATAACTGAATAAATAGGTCATGGATTTTAAACTAATCGCTATCAATTGCATACGAACGTACCAGAGTACTGTACGTTATAAAGTACTCTACTGACGATCTTAAATATAGAGATGGATGTGAACACATTAGTAGAACTCATTCCATACACCCTTTTGAAATTCAATACTGATTGATACTAATCACATGACAAGTGCTACATTCTGTAAATGCATTATTCTCTAAATGCTCTCTCTTACATGGTCAAGATTTTAATGTCGCACAGTAATTCCTATATAAGGAGTAATCTTCATTGTAAAGACCAACATTAATTCCGGTCAGCATTGTGTTAAATACTATATATAGATATACTGTACGACGTTAAAAGTGTGGGATAAATGTGTGGTTCTTGACTATAATCCCTACCCTAGATGTAGAGTGGTATTTAGTTCTGACTTGAACTAAATCGGGAGTTTCTGCACAACATGATTCATAAACATGATAACCAATACTCCTCCGTGCTGGCTTTTTTACTATCGCTGCTGTCAAATCTATTAAATAATGATTAACCTTTTTTCTAGCGCCTTAATGGATTACTATAAAAATGGAGAATATACCGACATTTCAATTCAAGTTGGCGTTGAACCTAATAACAAAATATTTCATGCTCACAGATTGATACTCTGTGCGAGGAGCAAATACTTTAAACGGATTTTACCTGAAGAACAAAATAGTGCGCAGGCTATGACGTTGGAGGATATAACGCCATGTACCTTCGACATTTTACTCGGGTAAGGAATGATACATTTGCTTTGCATGTAACCGCTGCGAGACAGATTGTATTGATGATGCTTGTTAGATTATTATGTTATGTAACGGCTATTCAACGATTTATTGAGCGACTTTTAGGTAATCTATACGGCAAGAATAAAGACTGAACCACCTGGCGAATTGAACTGGATTTCTCTTCTCAAAGGAGCCTGCAAATTTGAACTAAATAGTCTTATTGATGGAATACAACAGTATATGATTCAGCAAGAAGATAATTGGATACGAGAAAACATTGTCGCACTATATCAATATACTTCATCAGTGACAAAAACTTCAAACTTATTGCAATGGGGTTGTGAAGAGATCACCGGAAGTGCAAATCAAACAATTTGAGTGCGTTATCAATAGACATTCTGATAGCTATTCTTCAGAAGGATTATTGCGGTATGGGTGAAGTAGACATTAGTACGTTGGGCTATCAAAAAAATATCTGGCTCATCAGAAGATCCGGAAGATTGGTCAGATGCTGATAAGAATGCTACCAAGCGCATGATGGCCGATTGTATACCTCATATAAGATTCTACAGTATCACATCGACAGATTTTTATCAGAAGGTTTTACCGTACGAGGAAATATTACCAAAAGAGTTACGGTTAGATATACTATCTGATGGGTAGTAACAATAAAACGAACGTGCCACCACCAAGAACGCAGACCACGGGGTATGTCTTCATGGCCGTCGACTGACTTGAGGATCAATTCTCTTACTGACATATCATTTTGTTGCACTGTCGACTGGAAGTAGATTTCAAAGACACAAGTTGGAAATGAACAACGGAGAGCTAAAATCGAAAGCTCTTGATGACATCGTGTGAATCCGCCAGTGAAAGCAATTGTACGAATATTTTCTAATCTGACTGGTAACGTACAATTTGAGTGTTATTTACAACGGACGATTAAAGCCTTATTCACAGCCGAGAATACTCTTTATCTTTTGTTTAAAATAAATTCTTTAATTTATTACTAAACACTATGGTATTTTATACTACCCGGTTAATATAACTTGGTGAGCAAATTATGTCTCTAGCTTATCAGTTGTACGAACGATTATCGATGAAATCCCAGCAACGTTCTTAATAATATGAGTATACCTAATAACAATTGCAATTCGCAACAAATTAGTGCATATATCAATATTACGTGTACCCTCCCTGTTGAGTATAATTGCGTTCCTTCAGTTTACAAAGCAACCCAAGGTTGCTACCCCTTCCAGTCTTAAAATCTAAAACATAAAGAGTAATCCTAATACTAGACCAGAGTTTGAAACTGCAATCCTATGACTAAAGTTTGACACTGCAATTCCAAGATCAGAGTTCAAAATTACAGTGACAGCTGGATATAGTGAGAAGAACTGGTTATAATGCTATAGATTATTATTTTTATGTAATGTTGGAATATAAATCCGTAGTAATGTAATACTAAATGTTCTGAATTGCCTTTTTAGATATCTATAAGTAGCTATTAGTCATTAAATTTGCTAACTAAATAAATGTGGGATCCTTATTACCTAGTTATAGTATTAATATACATTGTATAAGGTTTATCTAAACTTTTGTTGTTTTTAAACTGTAAGCAACTCTTTTGACCAACTTTTAAGAAGGACTATCTTGATAATTACTGCTATTTTTAGGAAAGAGAGCATGCATTACACAAAGTATATTGCGAACATTTACCTTATTTTATTCAATTGTCTTATCAATTTTATGAGTAGAACGAGTTTCAACAAACTCAAAACTTCCTCCCGAATCACCAAAATAACCCATTGAATTACTACTACCACCATTTTTAAATTCGCTATTCTTTCAATCTACAACTCGATTAAAAGTTTTTTTAAACTTAGTTTTGTCTGAATTACTTCAAGTACAAGCCGAAGAAGAAATATATTCAAAAAGTTTATCTTTATCAATATCTCTAAGAATAGTTAAAATTTGACCAGGTAAATCATTAGTCAAATAAATCGGATGAGTATAAGGTTTACTATTACCATTACAGTCAGACTTCCTTACAGTCACCAAGTCCATTGCACCTCAAAGTGGTGATTGTATAGAGGTGTGACTATATAGGGTGTGACTGTAAGGAGGTCTGACTGTATAACCAGTTTTGATAATGGGTCCAAAATGCTTAGTTGTTTCTGGTATACGTGTATTAGAACTGTAAATTCGATTTGAATATTCTTCATTACTTTCAATCATATTATTCAAAATCTTTTGACCAACCCCTTGTTTTTTAAATCAGCTTTTCAACGCGGGTACCAGAGCATCAACAATTCTATTTCTTAAATCAGTCTGTTTTTTGACAATTTCAGTACTACATTTTTTCCTTAATCTCTCGATTTCTTTAGTTATTTCTTCTTCTCTTTTCAAAAGTTCTCCTAATACTAATGCAATTGTTTTATCTTCAATTTTCTGATCAAATTCAGGATCAGATTCAGCAAATAAAATATCTTCAAATTGAGTGATAACTATCAACTGGTTGATTATTGTTTAGATTATTAACTACTTGAAAAGGAACTGAATTACCTTTTTGGTTTTTTAAAAGAATAATTAATAAATCAGTTGCTTCCTTACTTAAACCCATTCTTTCACTCTTGATTTGTTTAGAGGAAGTTTTCAAAACATTTAATAACTCTGCAGTATCTTGAAGAAATGCTTTATCCAAAGTGCTATTAGGTTTTAAAAGGGTGCTATCAAAGATAGACCTGATAGACCTTTCTTTTGGTTTAAGAGCTCCCCTGTGATAATTTGAGTATTTTTTAGCGTCATCTATTGTATTTATTGAATGCCATGATTTAGTTCCTATCATTAAAAGATTAAATATAAAGAATTTAATAGAACAAACAAAAGCTAATAAATTTGCGGTTGACTGAAATATTTTTATTCATATCAATATAGATTGGTTTGGGACAAGTAATATCCTTAAATTTGTCTCTAACAAATGGGCGAATATTATGATAAAGATATTCTTGTCTTTTATAATCCAAAGGAGAAGGGGTTAATACTAGGATGGAAAAGGATTTAATTTCTTTGGTAATTTCAGAAACACTTGTTTTTCTAATTTTCAATAAATTAAATTCGGTAAAGGCTTTATTGGCAACCAGCTGAGCATTAACAACTCCAGGTCGAGCTGCTTCAAATACAAAATGCTGGTATTTTTGTAAGCCGTTCAATTTTTTAAAGAAAATACCCAACACAGAATTAAGATCTAGGTATTGAAAGCCTTTGCCGTTGTCATAACACTGGGCCTTGTTTAATCCCGCTGTACTCGATTTTTTCACGACCTCAACAATATGATCCACGCAATCTACTGATGTTTTGCGGTATAATTTTTTAATCAATCCAAAACTACCATCACACTTGAATTTAGTATGTCCAGGTATCATAAAATTCAATTCGATACTTTCATAATAGCCGCAGATAACCAAGTATAGGTAAAATCAAATGGTAGCATTATTCTTATTCTATCCACCTGCATTATCACAAGTAATCTTTAAATGTTTTTCACCTTTATTCGATCTCTTAATTCCATCAAATACCATGCTCAGGGTGCCATTAGGGCCTTTGCCGATAATTTCGTCTTCATCGAGAACGTAATTAATTTGTTCGCGTACTGCCTCATCTTGTATACCAAATAAATGTACTTTATGCGGACTAAGGTAATAAATTTTACTTAACTGTTGATCGGAATGGGGCACGTGAACGTTTTGCAACAGTAGCGTCTATGCTACGATAATCAGCTTACCGCCTGTTGCTGCGTAATTATTATCTACCAATTTTCTCTGTTGTTCCGCTAGTTTCGTATTTCTGTTGTAATAGCTTCTCTCTAATTTAGCCTTAACTAAATGTTCTTTGTATTTTTTCAATAAGTCTCTTGCTTCTTCTTCCTTACGAGCATTATACTGTAAGCCATTCCGAAAGTGTTGGCACGTGTCACATAAATCCGTTCTTGGACTCATGATTTGAATATAAGGCGTTAGTTGGTGTCATAACTTGCGGAACGCATCATATTTTAACAATTTCAATGTGCTATCGTTTTCCAGACCTGCGATAAAATTACGATAGACCGATTTGTAACTCGTTTCCGCTGGCAATAATGTAAGCGATTGAGTCGTTTCTACCAGGACTTGGTAATCCGTGAATTTCAGCATAGTTCTCGAGAAAATTTTTCACAGACGTATGGTGCGGGAAATCTATACTCGATAATCACGTGACCCAAAATATTAAGCGTCTTTAAACTCCTTCAACTTTTTACACAGATATTATTTTTAAAATCTGACCGGTACTTTTGCTCTTCACAGTAAGCTCTACAAAGTTATCGGTCAAATTTTAAAAATAATATCTGTGTAAAAAGTTATAGGGTTGGTATACAATTTTATTATTTTAATATTATCATAATAAAAATTTTTGCTTATCATATTACGATACGATATTATTGGTCAATTAAAATTGAAACAAATCACGTGATTGTCTAGTATAGACCATAGCAGTTATATCAATGGTTATTTTGGTCTTTCATCGTGGCACCTTTTTTACATTACCATGAACGCGCGATATTATACCATTTATCGCTAGGTGATTGAGTACGACCAATTCCCAACATATTGAGATACGTTTTCTGACAAAGAGGCGTATTACGATCTCAGTAGTAGATAGTTCTCTTGTTAACACGAGCCTTGTTCTTGAGACGTCGACTAGTACTTGTCACTCCTCTATCCATGGATCTGAGTTGGGCCATTAAGAAAATGTCTTGTTCGGGTTTTGTTAGCGCTTGAAAGTCTTCTCGCAATTCAGCAAATTCTTCTTTGGGCAGCCTAGTCGAGCAACTGCAACCACATCCTATTTCCAGGAAAAGGAGAGCCTTCTCATATTCGTTCGTAATTGTGTCGTGCACTTTTGTGAAATTTTCTAATTCTATGGGGAATTAGTTAAGTATTATACAGAAGGGTAGTCGTGTATATAACGATAAATTGAAATATATGAAACTTATCTATATTAGAGCCCAAAAACTATAACACTTTACGCTCTCTTTTAAAGCAAGAGCAAGGCGAAAAAATAGCACCTTACATTTTCAAACTAAGAAATACACAGTCTATTAAAGAATAACTGGATCAAGAACAGATAACCTATGAGATTTACCAAGAGGAAAGGATAGAAAAACCTTTTAAATGGACGTTGGCCGAACCCTTTCAAGAAAAGAAAATTAGAAGAATAGAGAATTATAATTTGCCTGTTTGACCGTTACCTATTCATATCATTATACAGAGATAACCGTATGCGCTTTTAGTGCCTTTTTCTCCTAAATGCCCTAACGCTAAGCTCCAATAGCAACATATTATCGACGCGCACTCCGCTTGAACACCCATTATTTATTCTGTGTACATCGTGATGCTGCCATTGTCGTCTCGCATAATGGATATCCGTTGATAAGTGCGAAACGTGACCTGAATTGCCTGTAGCTTGGTATGTGACGCAGTAGAGGATTGCGCCAATTTTTTTTTTCGGCCTGCGCGTTCTTTCCGGTCATTGCTCAACATGTCCGTCCCCATCCGAATTTTCTGTCTGATCGAAGGCGATGACCATTCGAAAAACATTTTCTCTGTCAAAATTTCCAAGGACGAGCTCATTGAAGCACTCAAAGTAGCCATCAAAGATGCAAAGCCGAACATACTGGCTCACGTTGACGCAGACCAGCTCGAGCTATGGAAGGCCAACATTCCCTTCGGGGTGAAGTCCAGCAGCATTCAGAGCCTTCCTGCTACGAATAATTTACTCGCGATAAGCCAGATTTCTGATTACTGGCCCGGTGAGATACCTCCGAATAGTATCCACGTTCTCATTGAACGCCCTACTACTACCGGTAAGTAGCTTGCATGTTGAACATCCTGAAACGATACGCATTCCACGCTGTCATCACGTTTTAATCGCTCACCGTTGCCGTTAATTTATTCGATTATGCCACCTCCGGCCTGCGAATGCACTGCATTGTTTATAGCTGGTGAGTATGTTGTATTCAATTTTGCCACATCATTACTGTGGCTCGTCGCGATTCCATCTGCATCATCTACCCGCTTTCCTGCTAACTGCTTACTCTTGTCCATCATAATTAACCACATACTCTTGAACTATATGCACATGTACTTCAATGATTATAGCTCACACACCCAGCACTTTAATGGTTGAACTTACTAAAACAATGAACCAAATGGTACATTTATTAATGGATGTCTTAATATTATGATACACTTACTGATATATTATTTATTTCAAGAATTTGACTATGCAAAGTGTGCAAAACACTTTGCAAGTTGGTGAGTGGATCTCTTTATTATCAATATGTTCAAGTTCTTTATATCAATATAACTAATAATTATATAGCCAATCCAAAGATGCCTGATTATTTACAGAGCACTCAGACCCATGCTCAGCATTATAATTTACAATTTAAGCACCAGGTCCATACTGGTTACACCCTTGATGAATTCTATGCACACAATTGGCTGCCCTCTGACCTTGTGGATGGTATTTCTTCAAAATACCTTAAAAATTACTATAATGCAAGAAAGAAAGGAAAATTTGCTAGAATGGATGAAAAGGCACTTACTGGATGGCTTACCACATGGCTTCGTGGGATATGCAAATCCATCACGAAGGAAATACGTGTGCTTAATACCAGTAATAATGACTATTTAGATGGCAACAAGCCAGATATCTCAGTTCTTCCTAACCATTTGGCACCACATCCACGGACTGTCCTTTTCTGTTTTGAAGTGAAGCTGAAGAATCCTCACCTTCCAGAATCCATGATGCAGATCATAGACTACCTAATTGTAATGCTTAAAGCACAGCCAAGCCTCAATGATGTTATTGGTGCCTTGATAACATCTACAACACTTATTATTCTTCGTATGGAACCTGGGTTCAACACTCCTATCTATGCCTGCACTTGTGAACTCATGCCTGAAGATTGGAAACCTAATGATGTTACACCCCCTCCTCTCATTGCACTGCAACAGATTTTTAGCAGGGCAGCCTCCTCCAACTCTGTGAACAATGATTTGATTAAAATCTGTCAGCATCTGGGAGTGAATGAAATGGAACATATAGGCTATGGCTCTACAAGCATTGTCTATAAAGCAAATGTCAATGGGAATTTAGTGGCTGTAAAGGTCTTCAAATCAAATGTTTTGCAGGAAGACATTGACAAGGAGGCTTCCATACTTCAACAACTGCATTTTCCAAATATTTTACAACTGGTAGAAGCAGGTCAACAGTGGATCACATTACAACCTTTATGTATCACTTCATGTCTTCTCTGCCCAGACAAGTTTGAAAAACATCAATGGATTGAGGCTCTGATGGCTTTAAAATATCTGCATGAACAAGGCCTTGTTCATTGTGATATAAGACCTGAGAACATCATGTTGGATGGCAGTGGTAAATTGCAACTTTTGGATGTGGGTAGTGTTGTGAAGAAGGTAAAATATTAGTATAATTAAATGATTGTTTAATATTTGCCTAGTACTAACATCTGTTATCTCACAGAGTAGAACTTTGTATCTAGGCACAATCCGATTTGCAAGCCAAAGTATTCTGAAACAACTATTAGAATCAACAGACTTATCTATTGATGTACAGCCATCAGATGACCTCTCACTCATCTATGTTGCTAGATGGTGTGACATGGCACTTGAATGCAGAAACAAACTCCTTACTTTTGATACAAAGAAAAATCTACAGAATATGTTGGAGTTCTGGAAGATAGAGACAGTGAACTATGAAAAGTTTATTGAAGAGGCACAAATGGAGAACCACACTGGCCTCATACACCTGTTTTTCTCAAAATGGCACTGAAGTACTCTTTTAAACTTAAAATTTGATTACAATTCATCACAAGTGTCTCCAACAAGTAACAGTCAACAGTCAAATCTCTGGCAAATGCCTACCATGACACCTTGTGCAAGCACTGAATATTTGTTATACATAGTTGCAAAAATAGTATTCTTTCTCTAATGGACCAATAAAAATTGCTTGGGGTACTAGGCATGATCTAACTATAACATTCACTTTGTCTGGTTTTTTTGCAGCACACTCCATATACCATGTTGACAATCATGGCTGATTTCCATCATGCAAACTATTAGATGGTTGTTCATATTCTACACTTTGGGTGGTAGTGGTGGCTTTGTCACAAAATTGACAGTCAAATGCAATTTACAAGAGTATGTGCTATCCTTTACAGAAACTTGCATTTTTTAAAAATGTCTTGATGAGATTTGCAGGACATTGTGCTGATAACCATGTGACATTTACAATCAGAAAATATTGCAAACATCTCGTTGTGATGTCACCAACAAATTGCTAAATTTCTATTAATATCCTGGCGATCTTGTCACGAGATTCTGCTAGATTGTTCAACTTCGTAAAATTTCCATGCATCCCGGAAGTCTTGTGGGCACATCTTCACGATACACTAAAATTAGAATTCTCATGACAATCTCATTACGTAATGCCTGTTAGATAGTGGTGACCTTATTCTGATGTCACAGAGAGATTTATAAAAACTACAGGTTTCTGTAAAGTCAGATAGATATATGCTACGTATTAGTATGTACAGTGGTCATCATAAATATCCAGAATTTTGATCTGGTGCAGAAAAGTCACGTAGCATAAACAATTTTGAACCAATACAAAATTGGGATTAAAGTATTGTGTATCATAACCAAATGCATTACCGCTAACTTGTTTGCAGTGTTTTCGCGTCCATTAGTAAAAAAATGAAAAAAAAATGTCAACTGGTTCAAAGTTTGAAGCACAAAGAACAGTTGTAAGCCAGCTTTGGGCAAATAATGTTCAGAAACCTGCTGAAATCATATGTTTAACAGGTTTTCTGAAATCCACAGTGTATGATTTAGTCAATTGACTTAAAGAAAGGTCTAGTATTATGCCACTTTCCATACCTGGAAGACCTCCAATTCTTACTGTTAAACAATGCCGTCATCTTGGTCTGATAGTGCAGAACAACAATACTGCTACTGCAGCTGAAATGACTGAGAGACTGAAACAAAAAGATCCTAATCTGAAGGTTTCTGTTCATACTGTTCAGTGTACATTAAAAAAAAACTCTTAAGTTTGAAGTTTGTCATCCACTTCAGGTTCCTCTTCTACAGCCTTATCATATTGCAGCTCATCTTGAATGGGCTCAAAGGCATGTCCATAACAATTGGTCCAACACTATTTTCTCCGATGAAACAACTTTTCAGATGTTTTGAAACACTCAGTTAGTAAGATAACATAGTGGGGAGTCATGGCCACACCGAAGTATGGTAAAGCACCCTTATATATAAAGTTCATGCTTGGGTGCATTTACTGCACAAGGACCAATCGCACTTGTTTGTTCACTGAAAACTTCAATGCTAAAAGATATCAACAAATTCTTGAAACTCACCTTTTTCCTTACATTTCCAGAGCAAATCATCAGTTTTGTTTTCAACAGGATAACTCAATAACTGACCTGTTTGAGCACCATAGTATTCACATTCTTGATTGGTCTGCTTTCTCACCAGATATAAACCCAATCGAGCAATATTTAAGGGAAAAGTGGAGAAAGAAGTAAATTTGCAGTTAATGGAAAAAAAAAGCTTTCAACAATTGACTTTCAAACTATAATTCATCAGGAATGGGAGGGTCTGGATAATAATCTCTTCCTTAGGTTAGCGAATAGTATGAAAAATTGCATTTCGGAGGTAATTGAGCAGGAGGGGGAAAAGATAGATTATTGAAATTTTGTACATAGTTAGTAATTGTATTTGGCAACATATGTACAAATTTAAGCATACAAAAATAATGAAAATAAAATTTTTTGTTTGTGAGATTAAATTCCAGATATTTATGACGACCACTGTATTAAATATGTCTGCAATCTATGTCGCGGATTTACTTGCATCCAAGTTACATCTTAGTTGTATGTAAATCCCATCACCATGTAAATTGTGGCACTGCATTTACATATGTAAATCCCGTCCAATTCGTCCAAAGGCTATTGGTCACAAGTTTGTTTGCTTACTATCAAATATACTTTCTCTATTTTCAATAGACATAAAGCCTTAAATCTGTGGGATTTGAACTAAGACCACTTGTTGGGATCTGCCAAATCTCCAGAACCCCTTATTTCCCCATAAAGATCAATGTATGTATTGCTGTCATAAGAAGAATTGTATAACCTACATCTGATTGACTAATGCTTATGAGGTTGATTTTGGGTTTATTTTTCTTTCTTCAGGCTGCTCAGCTTTAATTTGTTGCTGGGTTTTGTAGTAAAAGGTTCCAGCTAGTCAATCTAGGGTGCTTTACCAGAGTCAGATGAGGGGGGGAAATAACTTCAAAAAGAACCCTTACCCAATTAAGAGAGGGCTATCTATAGCTGGTGCCTCACCATGGGTGGGCAAAGCATAAAATTAAAGAGAGTTCTATCTTCAGGATATAATGCTTTTTGCACATGCTCATAAGATTTTTTACCACTCTTTTTTGCATTTGTTTTTGATTATTTTTGTGTCTCTAATATCCATAAAGAGAATGTTCTTTTATTTGCAATATTATTAATACTTTCTTGTCTTGTAAACCCCACTGGGAGTTTCTTACAAACAAGTTCAGTAAATAATCCATTATATTTTTAAGTCTCATACCAAAAATAGAAATATAAAGAGACATTTTTTTCGGGTCACTACTGCCACCAATGTGTTACGGTCGGGTGGTCTGGGGTTTGGGAGAGCAATTAATCTTTCGCGTAGGGGTGTTCTTCCGACCGGGGGATG